GCTCATGCCTCTTCTGAAACCCAGTTTCTAGGCTTCTGTGTCTCTGTTAAGCAGAGACCTTCCTTGGGCTTGAGCCCTTCCCAGCCTGGGTAGCAGTCAGCTTGGTATTCCTGCTCCCCAGCCCTCCAGAGTGGGCCTATAATAAATGCTAGGAGGATGGGAAGATGCTCAGAAGGACATGCTTTATATGTAACTGAAATAATGCTTAAACTCCATGCATAGTAAACGAATGTCCGTGAGCCTAAAAATGTAATGGCACTGAGAAAATGAGCCCTTTAGAGCATAGGCGCTGGGAAATAGTCCCTCGAAGCCGGGTTTTCCTTTCCTAACAGGTGAGACACACAGAGAAGTACTTGTCAGGAATAAAGGGGGTGGTTATTTAGGCTTAGCCACGATGGCGTTATAATCCAGGACACTAGGCCAGCACCATGCTTGACAGGATTGGTGGTTCTTTAGAAGGAGGATTGCTCTTTCATTAAATGAATGGACTCGCCCTTTAAAAACCTGTTTGGGCAAGTGGACAGGTGTGCACAGTAACCTGGAAATCTGGCGGTTGTTCAAGATCCTTCCCCTACTTTTCAAGTCGAATTTATTGTCAAGTCCTGTTATTCCACTTTACAGAAATCTATCACATCCATACCCAAAGCTTTCATCTGAAAAGTTTTTTAATCATTCTTGCCTAGAATATGGCAGTAGCTATGAACTGATCTCCCTGCCTCCCGCTTGCCTTCTCCCATGCTTCCTCCACAAGACCACCCAGAAGATCTTTCTGAAGCACAAATGTGCTTGTATCATGGTCCTTCGGCAGCTTCCTGTTGCCCATGGGTAAAGTCTAGGCTCCTGCAGCATCTGAGCACAGCTTCTCTGCCCTATATTGTCCTTCCTGCTTTTGCCTCTGCCTGGAATACGTACCCCTCTACCCCGCTTCTGCAGAGGGAACGAGCTACTGTTGGGAGGCCTGGCTGCCACATATCTTCTCTGACAAATCTTCCCCAGCCTCCCCTCGCCCCCCATGTCCAGCCGCAGAGTTGACTCTGCCCTTCTCGCCAGCCCTAGAACGTGTGTAGCCTGGACCACACTACTTTGCATATTGGGTTTCCAGGTCTAAAGCCACTCCCGCCCCCACACTAAGCTCCTAGAAAATGGGGATCATGTTTTGTTCATCTCTAGGTCCAGCTTCCAGGATGGTACTAAACACATGGAGAGAGTTAAATAACTGTTTGCTGACTGGATGACTATAGGAGACAGAAATTGGAGGTTGAAGACTCAGTTCCATTGAAGCCAAGTGCTAGAAGAGTAGCATGCCTGTATCTTTTATCAATGTCAGCTCACAAGACGTTCTGGCTTCAGCGTTGACCTAGGACAACTTGTCACAGAGCCTTCTCTTCTTATTTCCCCTTCTCTCCACTCTGATCTTACCCCTCTGAGAAACACGATTGACCTGGCTGTGAAATGAATACCTGCTTCTCTGTCATCTCCCTCCACCCCTGATGAACAAACTACCTGTTTCTGGAAACTTAAAATATGGAGCCACAGGTACCTTAAAGAGCCCTCCACCTACACCACCCCCCCACCCCCCCCGCCAGCTATTTTATCCGACTCTGTGAGTCGCCAGTGTCAATTCTTTTTCTATGGGCCTTTCACTGTTACTAAGTAAGTGATTGTTTCATCTGACTCAGACTCAGGTTTCCTAAAGTCCTATGCTATGTTCTTTACATACTACCTTGTCACTCTTCCAGGCTGGTGTGTTTCTTCTTGTGCCCAAACTAGGGAGCGGTAGTCTTCAGTCAGGCGCTTCCTCCACTCATTGATTCATTCTTTCATTGAACTGCTAGATGATGGGGTATGTCATTTTACCCAAAGGGACCTCAGTCTAGTGGTAAAAACATACTTGTATCTGAGTGATTATAAGGTAGAGACAAATTGCCATGGAAGCACAGAGGGAAACTTGGCAAACGAGTTGAAGAAACCTTCAGCTGGGCCTTGAAAAGTAAGCGTGTGTCCTCAAGGAAGAGAAGAGCATTCTAGGCAGAGGAAGCAGCAGAAGTAAAGGTCTGGGGTGTGAAAAGGCACGGCAGGTCTGAGAGACTGAGGACTGGCGTGGCTTATGCCCCTGGATGCTTCGGATGCGGGAAAGGAAACCCCTCTCTCCACGGATTTTCTTCTGAGGTGAGGCTGATCGGAGCTGCAGGTCCCCCCTAGAGCTGCTTCCCGGGCCCCCTCTGCCCACAGCACTCCCGTGGCTGAGCAAGGCTCCTGGGGCTGTCACCACTCCCACCCACGCCCACCCGCCTAGGCAGTGGCTTCCCAGAAGGAAAGAGGCAGGGGAGGAAGCAGATAAGAAAGACAGCTTCTGTTTAGACACAAATATCTTGGTAATCAGCACAGATGGGATGAGAAATACCAAAAAAAGTACATGACAGTTTAGAGAGAATTTGACTAAATGTTACATATTTTTAACATACCTGTATAGAGTTTTTGGAACAAGCACCTGGATCTCTCAGAACATGACCGGGCCTGGGGGTTATGCCTCAACCAAGGGATGTTTTTATTTCAGAAATGTCCCCTTCCCCATCCACAAAAGTATCCTCGTGATTTTTTTTTTTCCTCCCACCAAAATAAGGCACAGGATTTGTCTCTGACGCTGTGTCTCCTTATTTGGACGGCAAGCTGTGTAACATATTTCTACCCAGCGTGAAGCTTCTTGGCAGACTCTTGAGGCCACGTTTTGGTGGCTTCAGAGTTATCTTTGGATCTGTCAAAAGTGCTAATGGGCTTTCTGGCCTTCTTTAAGCTCCTCATTTCTATTTTCTTTTTCCTTCCATCCTCTCCTAAAAGAAAAATTCATGTAATTCATCAGCAGTTAAGCATTTTACTGAAACGCTCAGCTGAGGGCCTTGTATTTTTATTTGCGAGAATAGCTCTGCCATGTCACTGTCTTCAGAACAAACCCACCCTGACATCATTAGCTCAGCACTCCTCGGTCCACTAGGCAAGAAAGAGATGCGCTTGTTGACTAATTCAGGCTGCTTTTCGTTTTCGTTTTGTTTTGCTTTTCAAGTTTGTCGAAGAGGCCAGTTGGTGTGGTCGTTAGAGCAAGAGTTTTGAATTCAGGAGACCCGGTTTTGAAACTTGGCCCTTTCTAGCTGCCTGACCTTCAGAAGGCTTTAACCTTCCTGAGCCTCAGTTTCCCCGTATAGAAAGTCGAGGTGGCAGTGCCTTTCTCAGGGTTTTTGAGAAGATTAGAGAGAACAGAGGTAAAGTGCCTTGTTGTCCAGCACATAAGGGTTATTCAATAAATGGGGTAATAATTTTGTAACAGACGCTTTTCTCTTTCTTTAAGCATACTTTGATCCTTCTTTAGTACTATGCTCTGCTTTCTTTTTTTGAACATAACTTTACTATTTTTGGTGATATAAAAGAAGAGCATAGGTTTAGAGACAAACCCACCCAAGACTGAATAATGCCTTCTCTGCTTACTGTCTAACCTTGGTCAAATTACTTCACTTTCTCTGTGTCTCTGTTTTCTTATCTGTGTACAGAGATGGGAATACCTGTTCAAAGAGTGGTTTCAAGATGAAGTGAAATAATACATGTAAAGGCTTGTATATTGCAGATGTTTAAAAGTACTTGAGTGGGACAATGTAACGGAAGGGGAAGTATATGGGTTATGGGGTTGGATCTGAATGCAAATTCTGACTGTACCAGTTACGGGGTTTCTCCCAGACTTATTTTATGTATATATTGGAAAGATTAATACTCAGTAGATTTTCGTGAAGATTGCATGAGGTTTTACATACCTGGTACCTGGTACAGTGCCTGGTACTTCGTAGTCAGCGTATGGAGCTATTAATTCACTCTTTATTTATAAAGGTCGATGGTTAAACTGGTATTCCACTCAAGCAGTAATAAATCGTAAGGTAAATGCCCGTTCTTATTCCCAACCCACAATATTGTCGAAAAGCACTTTATGCTATTTTGCATGTAAAATCCACCTGGTTTACTTGAATTTATGGGTTATAGATCTTTCATAATTATAAATTGCAACCCCTGGCAATGGCGTTCTTTCCTTCCCCATCCCCTTCATTTTCAGAGGATTCATATTGTGTGGCATTGAAAAGCTGTAACATTGAAGAAATTAGCATATTCATGTGTATTATTAAAGTCAGGTGGGTATGAAAGGGTTGCGGAAATGAAACACATTACATTTTTTTCCTGAAATCTGTAAAGTACCAATCTGTAGTACTAATTAAAGGAATGAAGCGCAGTCTGCGGACAAAAGCTAGTTAAAACACTGCTTTGTCACAACTTGCTGCTGCTTGTCTTTGATTTTTTTCTTCCTTTTGAGCGAAATACCTGGAAATTGTAAATCTTCGAAGTTGCTTTAATTCCAGCTGAGTCATTTCAGAGATTGTAAACTGCAGAGAAAGGGGACACCAGCAGTGGTGACCGGAGAGGAGCACAGGGACCTTTGTGGGTGGGATCTGTTAGACAGGAACAGACTCTGAGCTGCACTTTGCTCCCTGAGTACTTTCTTCTGCTTAGACATGTGGTACAGTGCATTGGGACAGTTCTAGGGCCTGGGGTCCGAAGATCTGAGCTGCAGTCCTGTCTTCATCGCTTATTAGACTTTTCGGTCTTGGCGTATCCCTCCGAGCCGTGGTGACCTCATTCGTAAGGCTGCAGACTTACCGTCCCGCTTACCGTTAGGAACTCCTACAAAAAAGCAGCACAGCGCTGCGTGTGACCTCGCGTTGCAGACCGCAGTCACCACACAGAGGCGTAAGTGCTCAGACTGCTTCGTCTCCAAGGTCTCTTCCAACTTTGCATTTCATGATTTCATACGTGAAAGGGGTTTGGTCTCCCAGGTAGGAAGACGAGGACAGCAGCAGAGGAGAGTATCCGTTCTGATTATTTTGTTTCTCACGCTTTTATTAGATACCGCTTGTAATAAGAACCAACAAAATCAGCCACAAACCTCTCCTTCTCCTTTCTCCTAGAGAAATCTGACAGAATATTTCGTGGCCGTGGATGTAAACAACATGTTACATCTGTACGCCAGCATGCTCTACGAACGCCGGATTCTCATCATCTGCAGCAAACTCAGCACTGTGAGTAGACAGTCTCGAGACGGGCTTTTTCATTATGCTCTTTTAATTGAAAGATATATTGGGAAGATTTAAAGAAAATTTTAGAAAAAGAAATCAGCCACAGTCCCCTCAGATAGTGTCATGTCGTTTTCAGTAATGATTCATGTTCCTTTACAATGCCAGTGCATATTCCATTTGTTCCTGTAGTTTCACAGTCCATTACAAATAGTTCTCGATTTGATCCTGTGTTATGAACACTTTGCATATTTCCACATAAGCCTCCATCATTGTCATTTTTTACATGTCTGTATTATGTTTCATGGTATGGATGCATCATCATTCACTAAGTCTTTCTTCTCTTCATGGCCATTTCGATTGTTCATAGTTTAACATCTTTTGACTGCTTTTGACCAATACAGGTCATATTCTAAGGAGTGGGATCACCAGGTCAAAGGACTTGATAAGTAGTATGACTTATGGGCTGACAGATTGCTTCCCAGACAGGCCGTGCTTGCTTATCGTGAATGTTGCCAGCTGTATACGAGTATACCATTTTCACTGCAGACTGGCCAGAGTTGTCTTTGTGTGTGTGTGCGTGTGTATGCGTGTGTGTGCACGTACGCACCCACATATGTGTTTTAATTTTGCTGAAAAATAGGCATAAAATGGAATTGCAAGTTTGCTTTATTTATAATTTCTTTGATTAGAGGTAACTGACCTCTAACCATAGATTTACTTCCTGTTTGTATTTTGTTCATGTCTTTCTCCATTTATCTTGTAAGGCTCTTGATTTTTTAAAAAAATAAATTGGAATGAGCTTTTTTCGCTATATGTACGATATAAACATTTTTCACATTCTTTTTAGTTTAGTTTTTTTAACTTGCTAAATTTAAGAGTTTATATTTTTCCCAATATTCTACTATGAAAACTCAAACATGGAAAGTTGAAATCATTTTAGAGTGATGTTTTCTCAAACATCTCAAGGAATACATAATTTCAATTAGACAAACTCTAGGGAAAAAAAAGAGAATACACTCTAAGTTCTCTTGTGACACTTGACATTCAACCACATAAGGAGACATTACAAGAAAATTTATCAGTCAATCTCACTCATTAACATAGCTATAAAAGTCTTAAAATAGTAGCAAATGTATAAAAATATAATTCATAGTAAGTTGGGTTCATCCTAGAAATATTAATAGTACTAGAAAATGTAATAATATAACTTATCACATTAACATATTTAAAGTAAAAACTCATACGGTCACCAATAGAGAAAAAACATGACCACGTTCATGAATTAGGAAGACTCGATATATTGAAGACATCATTTTACTCCAAAACAATATGTAGATTGCATATAATTCCATTCAAAATCCCAATAGAATTTTACATTGTTCTTGGCAAACATATTCTATAATTAATACAGAAAAGCCAAACATAGAGCCAATACATACTTGAAAAAAAAGAATGGGTTACCAGATATCAAAATATTTAAGACACTGGAAATGGCACAGGGATACGTGAATAGACTGATGGAACAGAATAGAGTTTGTAGAAACAGACCATATGTGCATGGGGTCTTTGTATATACAACAGAGGTGATATTATAAAATTTGGGAAAATGGATGGGTTTTTCAATAATTGATTATCCACATGGGGAAGAAAAGGAAGATAATTTCTGTCTGACATATGCAAAACTGAATTCCAAATGGACTAAGGACTTAAATGTGAAAAGCAAAATTTAAAAGACAAACTAGGCAGATAATCTCTTTGATCTTGGAATAGAAAAGGATTTAATTAATCCACAATATACGTTGTATAAGGGAAAAGATTGAAACTGTGAACTTTTGTTCATTAAAAGATAATATCCAGAGAATGAAAAGACAAGTCACAAGCTGAGGTGAGGTATTTGCCATATATACAACTGACAGAGGATGGATATCTGAAATACGTAAAGAACTACCACAGTTAAAAAGCAGAAGAGAAATCTACCATTGGCAAAAAAGCATGAATAGGAGAAACACAATAGCTAATGAATATGTGAAAAGATGCTCAACCTCAGTAGCAATCACAGAAAAGCAAATTAAAACTACAGTGATTAAAACACTAGGTTTGCAAAAATTAGATGTCCGATAAAGCCAGGTATTGTATTAGAGGTGTAGTAGGGAATTTTATTGTCTACTCTTTGAAGAGCACGTGACATAAACTATTTGCATATGCCCAACACTCAGCAGGTCCACCTGTGGGCAGAGGGGATGTGTGTGTGTGTGTGTGTACATATATCTACACACAGTTCTTGGTCCCGTAGAGTGGGATACCTGTACAAGCAAGTATAGCACCATTTGCTTTTGTGTTTTAAACCTGGAAAGAGCTCCCATGACCATCAACAGGGAACTGATAAATTGTATAGTTACACAGTGGAATACTGTATCAGTGAGGGTGAACTACACTATCAAGCTACAGAAGAACATACAGTATGATTTCATTCATATAAAGTTCCAGTAAGAAAAACTAAGTGGCATATTTAGGGACACATACAGACTACAAGGGAAACAAAAAGAAATGATTAACACAAAATTTAGGTAATAGTTTCCTTGAAGGGAGTGAAAGAGTACAGCTGGGAAGAGGCATAAGGGGACATCAAAAGTATTGTTTTCTGTCTTGAGCTAGGTTACGGATCAACTAACTTCTGTAAAGGGTCTAATAATAAGTATGGCTCCGTAGCCCATATGGCTTTCGCTGCACCTACTGGACCCTGACTTTGTAGGTTATAATCAGTAAACTAGTGTATGTGGCTGTGTTCCAACAAAGCGTAATTTTTAGAAATAGGAGTCCGGCCAGACTTGGCATTCGAGCTGTAGTTTGTCAACCACTGAGTTAGGTGCTGAGTTTGAGAGTCTTAAGGTCCGCCCCCCTACCCACCCCCCCTTTGAAAGTTCCTTGTATGCTATACATACTTTTGTATGTATGTATATTTCAGAATTTTTGAAAAGTTAAAGGTACCAAGCCCTTTTATCATGAAATTTTACAGTACAGGGTTAAAGACAAAGTAAGTCCTGTACAAAGGTTAAGAATGAAAATTGCACAAGATTTTGCAGTGGCAGTTTTAGAAACCAGAAGACGGTCGAGCAGTGTCTTGAACTTCTAAGGGAAAACATTTTCTAACGTGAAATCCTGTCCTTAGAATGCAAGTGCTCAGAGAGTGGCAGCGCATCCCACACCCGTCAGCCTCCTGGGTCTCTGCCTTCCCACTCCCCCTTCTATGTTGTCGGGGAACCGTCTGTCCTCTCTAGGGCCAGGCGCTCTGCTGTCCACCTGACTTCATTCAACATGTGTTTTTCGTGGCACTGTTGTGGGCACTAGGAAACCACGGTGAACAAAATAGGCAAGCTTGTCCTCATTAAGCTTACATTCTAGTAGTGAAGACCTTGAACAAGCAAGGGAAGTTAAATATATGGTATTTAGAGTAGTATTTACAGTGGCCTAATGATAAGCACTAAGGAGCAAACCAGAGAAGGAGAGTGGACAGGGAGCGGCAGGCGGCAGGCCTTGCACTGCTGGACAGACGGCCAAGGGATGCCTTGTTGAGAAGGTGCCCCTTCAGGTTCCTTCTTGCTACCTTAAGGAAAGTCTTCCAGCATTGAGCTCTTCTCTCCTGCATCAATTTCTTCCTTCTCTACTGGTGCCTTCTCATGAGCTTACTAACATTAGGTATAATATCCCGCAAACTTACAAGCAAAGCGAAAGTTCCTTGACCCACTTCTCCTTTATGCCATTTCTCTTTTCCCTTTTAGAATGCAATTCCTTGAGTTATTTTCGATGTACCGTTTTCTCTCCCATTCTCCGCTCCGTCCTCTGTGGAGTTAGCCCCGCCTCTCCACTCTAACAGCTTTTGTTTGGGTCACCGATGACCTCAGGTCAAATAAAATTAAAATGAGTTAATACTTGCAAAGCTCTTAAAACAGAGTCTGGCATGTAGTGTATGGATATGTTTATAGTAATAACTTCTATAACAGGAAGTCAAATATTAATGCTTAAAATTTAAAATCAAATATTTAGAAATAACATAAATATTGTGATTACTGTAAATTTAGGGTAATCATGAGATGAACTGCTGTTTTTCAGTATAAGCTCGATAGTACATTTTGTTTTGTTTTTAAGGCTTTATAAACATGTATAACTTTGACTTAAAAAATAAATAAATAAAAATCTTTTTTTTTTTGACAAACAAAACATTAAAAAACCTTTTTTTGATTCTTTACTGAGTTCTGAACTTTACTGACTGATAGTAGAAATCTCTTTAGGGAGAGGGGGTCCCCTTACATCTCACCTGCAATCAGCAGCTGTCCTGATCAGTTATGTGCATTTTCCACGGGGACAGAGTAGCTGAGCAGACTTGAGCTTTATCCAAGACTTCAGACCTCACGAATTTCAGAATTTTTTTAAAAAGTTTTCTAATTGTTGCCTTCTGTTTCCTCAATAGTGGCTTGTTATTATCTTTTTGATTAGAAGCGGAATGCAAAGTCTCTTTTAGCCTGAAGTTTCTGATGACCCTCTCTTGATAAATCGAGATGTGGCCTGTCATACCATGACAAACAATGTTTTTCTCAATTTTGTGTGATAAGATATAGGCTTAAATGCTCCTCAGACCCATTAAGCATCTGAAGGATAAAAGCTGTTGAACACTCTAGAGTGCCATCTTCTATAAAAACGACTGCATCAGTAGAGACAAACCCAGCAATATTTAGTTCGGAGAGGTAATATTCATTTTAGTCTTTCTTGGTCAATAATGTTGTGATAATTCCGTATAAGAAAAATGTAAGTTTCTATTTTCTTTTCTCAGTTAATGTATATTGATTGTTTTCCTTTATAAGTGATAAATAGGGAAGGCTTAACTAAATCTTGTTCTCTAATGTAAATACTTCAATGTGATTTCTTCTAGCACAAAGGCCTCATTTTTCTTCCAGATTTTCATATCCAGCATTTAATATGTATTGCTCTTTGGTAACTCTTGTGGG